TTCCCTCGGCCGGCCCTGCGACTCCGGGCCGAGCCTCCACCCCCGCGGCCGAGGCGAGATCTTGCCCCCGTTTCCCCCGGAGAAGGCCTCTTGCCTCCGAGCCTGGGCCCCGGCCCGAGCGCGCCCATTAAGGGGCTGAAGTTCAGACGCAGGGGGTGGGAGGCGGTTCACTGGCAGCGGAGGGAGCCTGTGCGGGGACTCTTGCCGGGACGTGGGCGCGAGGCAGCCTCTGGCGGGGCCTGGAGTTGGCGGCCACAGGGCAGCAGGGCAACTGGACTGACAGCCCTTGAGGGTGGGGGTGCCTCCCTCCCACCCATCCCAGCACAGAAACACTGCCTTGGGGAGCCCCAAGGGTCTGGGGCGGCCACCTTTTCCCGGGATTCGAGGACACAGATTGGTGATGTGGACACAGGCGGAAATGAATGAGGCCACGTAACTTTAACAGGACTTAAAAAACAATTTAAGTTTTAGCACCTGCTTCCACCTCCACCCGCCTTTCCTCCTTTCCAGTCCTCGCCTCTGTGGGGGAACTGGAGGCAGGGAAGCAACACGGTGCCCTTCAAGCTTTCCTTGCCCTTTCCAGAACCTGGAAGGGGTGGCGGAGGCCTGTCATGGGTGGACTCTCCCTTCAGGCTTCAGACATGGCTGTCCACTTTTTCTGCCTGTCTTCACAGCTCTTCCTGCAGACTCTTTTTTCCTGAGGATCCTATTAAGATTGTCCGGGGCCAAGGGCAGTACATGTATGATGAACAGGGAGCAGAATACATCGATTGCATCAACAATGTGGCTCACGGTCAGTACCATCACTCCGGCTGGCTGGGCAGGAGAGGAGGCCCAGGCTGTGAACCTGGTCCGGGCGTGATCCTGAGGTGCAGAGAGGGGTGGAGAACGGGGGTTGAGCTGAGCAGAAGGGGCCCGATCTTTGTGGTGTCGCTGTAGAAGTTTCCAAGTAGGAGCTGGGCTACACCAGGCAGTAGTCAGAGACCCTTGTCTGGGAGTCCAGTTCCACTTGGGACTGATGGCAAGCTGAGAGAGCAGCAGCCAGTCCAGCCACGACCAGCAGTGGTCTCCCCTGGCCAAGTGCTGGGGGTCATGGCAGGGCTTCAGCCCCAGGGACCCTCTCAGGTCCTGGGGAGAAAACTGAAGTAGGAATTCAGTTATCCAGATCGGGCTGCCAGAGCCAGTGGGAGGAAAGCGAGTCTGACTGAGCAGGCACCTTGGAAGTCAATAAAGTAGAGGCTCTAACGCCTGGGTTTATACCCTGTCCTTCACTTATTAACTTGGTAATCTTAGGCAAGTTTCTTAACCTCGGTTCCTCATCTGCAAAATAGACATGATAATGCCAAGCATCCACCTGAGAGTGTTTTGGAGGATTAACTGAGTTAATTCTTGTAATTTGCTTTGCCTGTGCCTGGCACCTGGCGAGCTCCCAACACATGTTTGCTGTTAGCATCATCTTTGGCCTTTGGCGGTTATTACCTCCAGCCCCCTCTGACTGATGAGGTGAAGCCCACAGACAGACACTCCCATCCCCCTCCATATAGCAAACCACCTCCCACCAAAGACGTGGGTTTCTAAGTAGGGTTTCCGCCAGAATCCTTCCTCAATCTCCCTTTCCAGAACGGGCATGTGTCTCCTGCCTCTGCCTTCAGGCTCCCCTCTTTCCTCTCCACCACTTCCTCCAATACTGTGTCTTCCCTGACTGGGTTTACAGATTGGGGCTGGGGGAGGGCTGGAAGGCTAGGATGAGCAGAGTCAGCTGTGTGATGGAGGTGGCCCTCTTCCAGTTGGGCACTGCCACCCTCTCGTGGTCCAAGCAGCACATGAACAGAACCAGGTGCTCAACACCAACAGCCGATACCTGCACGACAACATCGTGGATTTCGCACAAAGGCTGTCGGAGACCCTGCCAGAGGAACTCTGTGTGTTTTATTTCCTGAATTCTGGGTAAGTGCACTGCAGCTGGCCCCCTAGCAAGATGAAGGGAGTTGCTCACCGGTGGGCAGCATAGTGTAGCCGACCGAGTGTGGACCAGAGGAGGAAGCCCCCACTGTGCAGGTGCCAGACTTCCCAGCTGTAGACCCTGTGCTTACTCTGTCAACCCAGTTTTCTGGTCTCTTAGTAAGAGGTGCCATTACCTCCCTTCTAGGATCCTAGTTAGGATTTACCAAGGTAATGTGTTCCTTTATTTCTTCCTTAGGAAAACACAGGCACAGTGTTCAATCCCTGCTTGCTCAATAAGAAGCAAAAACATCAAATAATTCTTTAAAGGAATACAAAATTACCAAGAGGGGTCATTGCCTGGAGGAAAAGTATCTATATATATAAAAGGCTAATACACTAAGTGTCCCCTCAGAAGTTCGACCAGGAGACCGGGAGTTCGATTGCTCACTATAATGTGCGCTGACCACCAGGGGGTGGTGCAGAACAAAGGAAGAAGACGCTGGCCAAAAGCCGGAAGGCCCGATTGGCCCTGATTGCCAGCCAGGCCTAGGGACCCTGCCCATGCATGAATTTCATGCACCAGGCCTCTAGTAGGATATAATGAGGCATAGAAGCAGACCTGGCCTGCTCTGAGAGGAAAAGGAAAGGCTTCCCTGAAGAAATGATATTAGACTAAGAGCTGACTAGGAGATGAGTTGATGAGGAGGAAGGGTGCTGCCAGCCCCATCATAAGTGTTCTTATCAAGGTTGATTACCACACAGAACAGCCTGTGCAAAGGCTCTGCAGCAGAAGAGTCATGGGACCCCAGCACACTGGAGGAACTATAAGGCAGCCAGTGAGGGAGAGGAGAAGGTGTGAGCAGGCACTGCGGAGGGAGACAGGGCCCATCATCCTGGACCTTATCAGCCAAATAAAGAATCTGTTTTTATCCTAAGAGCATTGGGAAGTCAGAGGATTTTGATCAGGCAGGTGATGTCATCAGGGCTGGTGGAGAGTGAGAATGGACACCATTAAGTGCCATTTCAGCAGCCAGGTGACAGGTGATGGCAGCTCACACTAGAAGTGGCAGTGGAGACAGAAGTGGCAGGCGATGACATGTACATAGAACCAGCATCCTGGGAGAGAACATTCCAACAAATCCTAGGTTGAGGCATTTAGATTATAGTAAGTATTATTATCATTATCATTGCCACTTACATAGTACGTTTATCAGTCCCCTCCAATAATTTCTAGGAAGTGGAATTTACATCTTGATTTTATAGATAAGGAAACTTTATTTTTTTAAATACTTTTCAGTTCTTCAGAATTGTAAGAAAAATACATGAGTGGATATGCATTTTTATATAATAAATATTCCTTAAGATAAAATATAAATTACAATTCTATATATGATCAAATAAATGTAAAAATTCATGTTTACGCCGGAGGAAAAGTTTTGGATGTGTGTATGTGTGTGGAAGCAGCAGTTTAAATGAAACTAGCGACCTCCATGCTGCCAAATCCAGTCGTCTCTCTGCCGCCTTTGTCTTTCTCTCTCAGCAATACTGACAACATATGAATTTTGTGGAACACGTACTTCCACTCTCTCTAGAAATGCTTCTGGTCTAGCTTCCAGGACCCTGTGCACTCCTCACTCTCCTTAGCTTCTGGCTGCTTCTCCTGTCTCCTCTGCCAGTTCCTCCTCTGTGCCTCAGGGCAGGTCCTCTCTGAACCTCTCCCTCATGATCTCTTCTGTTCCCATGGGATTACCTAGCATCCACGTGCTGGTTACTCCCAAACTTGTCTCTCAAGCCCAGATGCTTCCCATGTGTTCCAGCCTCATGGTTCTAACCACCCCTTGACTTCTTGAACATCAGCTTCACGTGTCGAAAAGACAGTAAGAACATGATTGTCTTCTGCCAACACCCAGAGTGGGACCATGGCCCCAGCTCTCCCTTACTTTCCTAGGCACTGACCCCCAGACCTTCCCACGAGGACATCCCCTCACTACCACCCGCACCCTGTCTTGCCTAGTAAATGGCAGAACCATCTGCATCTCTGCTCAAGGCAGAAACCCTCCTCCCAGTCCTGCATCAGTCCTGCCTCACCTCCCTCCAGGATGGCTCCATCCACTTCCCTTTATCTTCATGGCCACTACTACCCTCACTTGCATGTCCTCCTCCTTAGTCTCCTCACTTCCACTTTTTTTTTTTCATTGAAATAGTGTGTTCTTTTAATTTATGACTACTGTGGATGGGCAAGGGGCCACATGCTAAACCTGGCAAGCTCAGGGGATTTGCTTCCACTTTCATTTCCTTCTACTCCATTGGACACACATAGCCAGAGGCTTCCTCCTCAAATGGAAGCTGAATCATGTCTCTTCTCTGATTAAAACTCTTCAGTGCTGCTTGCTGTGCCTGGGAACTTCCCCCTGAGGCTTTAGTGCAGATACTGCCTCCTCGTAGAGTCCTTCCTGACCCCCTGTCTTAGTCAGCTCAGGCCGCCCCAGACTGGGGGCCATTTGTTTTCTCACTGTTCTGGATGCCAGATCCAAGATCAAGGTGTCGGCAGGTTTGGTTTCTTTAAGGCCTCTCTCCTTGGTTTACAGGTGGCCATCTGTCTTCATGTGGTCTTTCCTCTGTACATGAGCCCCTGGTATCTCTATGTCCAAATTTCCTCTTAGAAGGACTTCACTCAGGTTGGGCCCACCCTAATGGCCTTATTTTAACGTAATCGTCTATTTAAAGGCCCTATCTCCAAATACAGCCACATTCTGAGGACTTCAACATATGAATTTTGTGGAACACGTACTTCAGCCCATAGCACCCCCTTATCTAAATAGGGTCCCAACTGGTCCTCTTGAGGCACTTATCAAGTGAGCATTCTTTCTTTCTTTGGTGTTTTTGGGTTTTGGGGGTTGTGTGTGTGTGTGTGTGTGTGTGTGGTTTGTCTTTTGCTTTCGTGACACATACTAGAATGTAAGTTCCAGGAGCGTCAGGGTCTGTCTGTTTCACTGTTTTTGCCCCTAGTCTTAGCACACAGAAGGAAGGCATTTGATGAATTTGTACCTAATGACTAATGAATAGTGTCCCAAGAATCTTCTTGCTGCTGGCAGGGCACCACCTTCCTCTGGGTTTCCCTGTAGGAAGCAGGCCCTCAGGAGGGAAAGCCCTTAGCTGTCTGAGCCGTGCCCACCTTTTCTGTTGTAGGTCGGAGGCCAATGACCTAGCCCTGAGGCTGGCCCGCCAGTACACGGGACACTGGGACGTGGTGGTATTAGACCAGTAAGTGCTGTTCCCAGAAGCTTGGGCCCACCACTTGTTGGGGATCATTGAGGCTCTAACTTTGGGTGCCTTGGGCAGGAAGAATGAGGGACCATCGCTGCAGAGACTCCCCAACACACGCCAGGGGGCTCTTTTCCCTGGTCTCTTCTAGGAGGGCAGCTTCTGGGGAGCTGAGAAACCTTTGTGAGGGGTTAAGAGTTGGCCCCACATTTGAGGTATTAAAACTGTTCCGACAGCAGGGGCTCCCATGTGGTGAGTATGTGCTGCACAAGGCCCAAGCCCAGGGTCAGCGCCTTAGCACATCTAAGGTCATTAAACCCTGAGGAGAAGCCACTGTAGAGAGGAGAGAACTGACCCAGAGAGCCTAAGTGATTAGCCCCTGTTACACGGCCAGGAAGCGGCCTCACAGGAAGTGACCCCACAGCCTGTGCTCATCCCCAGCCCTAGGCCTCGGGGGCTATGGCAGAAAGGTGTGTCTCCTGAGGAGGGTAGATGCTTGTCAAAGACAGGCCAGAGACTCGCGCCACCTGGGCCTGAGCCCACCCTCCCTTCTCCCCCCCAGTGCTTATCACGGTCACCTGAGCTCCCTGATCGACATCAGCCCCTACAAGTTCCGGAACCTGGATGGCCAGAAGGAGTGGGTCCATGTGGTACGCACGGCCCAAGGGGGCAACAGGTCGGTGACCACCCTGAGCCTATATGACATGGCGCTGTCACTCCCCACAGGCACCTCTCCCAGACACATACCGGGGCCTCTACCGGGAGGACCACCCCAATCCGGCTGAGGCCTATGCCAGTGAGGTGAAACGTGTGGTCAGCAGTGCACAGGAGCAGGGCAGGCAGGTAACTGCATTTACATGGGTCTAGCCCAGCCAACAGTGAATATCACTTCCTCTGTCGCCAGCTGGTGCTAGATACAGGGAACCCGGTGAGACTCCGGACCAGAGATGTGTCCTGGGTGTGCTGGGAGTCCTGGGGCCCAGGCTGGGCTGGTTTTGATTGTGAAGGAGGGTCCTTCGAGAAGGTGCTGCCTGATTTCAGTAACATGAGCTGAGACAAGCAGGCTACAAGGCCAGAAAGGTTGGCAGAGCCAGATCTGGGAAGCCTGGCCTGTGTGTTTCAGATGTTCTACATCTACTTATATAAAACCAGAAAAGAGGTTGCTGTGGTGGCAGCAGGGGTGGGAGGCCAGTTTTCTACCCCATTGACCTTTCCCTCATCCGGCTGGAGCTTCTAAAGAAGCTCTAAGGCAGAACATAGTTTGGAAGTCATTACTGTAGGCAGAAGGGGTCATTAAAGGGTTTTAAACAAGATGAGCTCAGTGTCTGAGTTGAGGCATCACCCTGGTGGCCAGTTGGAGGATGCACTAGAAGAGGCATCCAGTTTGAAGACACTGGCAGGAGGCCAAGGCAGAAACTGGCAGATCTGTGGGAGGCAGAAGTGTCCAGGTGGATGGCAAGGAGTGGGAGCAGAGATGATACAGAGCAAGTCAGGCTGTGCTGACTAATGGATGAAGGAGGGGGCTGGATCAGGGATGGGGGCAGATGGGAGAGTTGGGAGTCACCAGATGGGGGCAAGGGAGAAACAGGCTTGTGGGGGAGAAATCAGTGGATTTTTTCTGAGCTATGCTAAGTACAGGAGTCTGGAGGCATCCAGGTTGTAAGAATTGGTTTGAGGCCTGAAAGAATTCAGATGTGATGAGGAGCCCGAACTAGGGGTGCAACAGTGATGGTAACTCATCCTGCGTGGAGCCAGCCCTGAGCCAGCATCAGCAGGACTCTCAGTTTGCCTCTCAGCACCTCCAGGTCAGTGTTCCTGACATCTTGTCTTGTCCACAGATTGCCGCATTCTTCGCTGAGTCTCTGCCCAGTGTGGGCGGGCAGATCATTCCCCCTGCTGGCTACTTCCCGGAAGTGGCAGAGTAAGGAGGGGCAGCTCCAGGGAGGCCAGGGCTGTAATGCGGTTTCCCAACCTTTGTTCCAAATGACAACCTCCGTCTCACCTGTTTGCCAGAGTTTTCAAAGCCCCTGAAAAAATAGTGGCCCCTAGGAGGCCAGCCATCTGCCCAAGGCCCCAACCTTACTGTTGACAGAGCCAGGATTCAGAGTCCCAAGACCTCCCAGCTCCTGTTCTGATCCCTCTCACCACAGCCGCCCCCATCAGCCGTCAGCCTTCTGTCCTCTGCCACAGGCACATCCGAAAGGCTGGAGGGGTCTTTGTTGCAGACGAGATTCAAGTGGGCTTTGGCCGAGTAGGCAAGCACTTCTGGGCTTTCCAGCTGCAGGGGGAAGACTTTGTCCCTGACATTGTCACCATGGGCAAGTCCATTGGCAATGGCCACCCTGTAGCCTGCGTGGCCACAACCCAAGCTGTGGCGAGAGCATTTGAAGCCACCGGTGTCGAGTACTTCAATACGGTGAGTGAAGGCTCCGGGGAGCACTGAGCGTTCTGATAGGCCCCAGACAATCTGAGCAAAGGCCACAGACCTGGCACTGTGCCACCACAAAGATGTCTAAGATGCTGTGGGGGTGGGTGGGGGCTGGGGAACAGTTAAAGCAGGTCAGAGGATAATAACACCAAACCTCTTTAAGGTTAGTATCAACCCAAGAGCTGTGGCAAGAGATCATGCCTTATATAGAAAGAAAACAAGAGGCCCTCTCTCCCTTCCAGCAGAAGCTGCCTACTGTGTGCAAGACCCTGTGCTAAAAGCTGATGAAAATACATGAGGAGCTGTGTGGGTGATGGCCTAGGATTAGCGTTCGTGTTGCAGTAGGAGTGTAGAGGAGGTGCAGTGCAGGGTTGAGCTTTCCCTAAGTGAAGTGGATCCTCGGGTTGGAGGAGAAGCCACGGCATGTTCAGTGGCTCCAAGAGCGCAGTTATGTGGTGGGTGAGGGGAGCATAGTGGTCAGCAGATGGCCTCATGGTAGAAGAGCGGAGAGTCTGGACTAATCCCCAGGGCTGTGAGGAACCATGGAAGGGTTTTAGTCTGTGAGAGACGAGATTGAAATATGCTTTAGAAGTTCTCAGTGTAGAGAAAAACTACAGGTAGGCAATTGGTCCAGGCAAGAGAGAAGGAGCCCAAATCTGGACACGGGCTACAGGGAAGAATAGGGAAGGACAGAGAGTTGAGGGAACGAAGGACACACTGTCACCTCCCAAAAAAGAGTCAGTTTGAATGGGGGCCTGAAACATGGCAAGATTGGGCAGGATGGTTGAGATTTGTCAGAGGTTATTAAGGACGAAGGCTGGTGCTCTCAGCAAACTCACCACATACCCAGCAGACACATAGGTAGACGCCTCTGCCCTAAACAAGTTCACTGTTCAGAGGGGAGATGGGCTCATAAACCCCTGCTCACATGGTGCGGAAAGATTTAACGGAAGTGGTGTGTTCACAGTGCCAGGAGAGCACAGGGATGCGGGTAAGAGGACGAAGAAGAGGAATGGAAGGAGCAGGGGAGGATTCTTATGGATGTGGAAGGATGAGGAGGAATTGGCCCTGCGAGGAGGAAGGAGTGGGTTGTGTTAGGTGAAAGACAACCCAGTGGAGCCGGAGCCTGGTGCTTGTGTCTATCTTACTTGAAGCGCACATAGATTATGGAGTCAGTCCATGGCTCACGAAAGATCATCATCTGCTCTCGCAGAGTCCTCTTTTAGTTCATCAGTTAATTGGTTACTTTCATTCTGAGACAAGCATCTGAGAAGCCATCATCCCAAATAAAAGTTAGGACCTTGACAATAACCTGCATCTATTTATCCATATGGTTGCTCCCAGACCCTGCCTCCCCCAGCCCAAGTAGCCATCACTCTGAACCCCTATTCATTAGTTATTCTCATTTTTTTAACTTTATAAGTGTATCATGCTGCATGTATGTAGTCTTTAGGGATTTGTGTGTTTTTTCACCTAACATTGTATTACTAAGAGTCATCCCCATCGCTTGTCACTGAAGTTCATTTGTTTTGACTGCTTTATAATTATCCCATTGTATAAACTACTTTGGTTTATTTGTACAATCCTGTTGATGTGCTTTGCAGTTGTACTCATGGTTTTTGCTATTGTGAACAGTGCTGATATGAACCATTTTTATAAACTCTGTTGTACATGTGCAAGAGGCTTTTTTAGGAATAACCTAAGAGTGGAATTGCTGGTCATGTTCACCTTCATTTTGAGACAATGACATGTTTCCCAAAGTAGGTCACAAGTTAACATCCCACCAGCAGGCATAAGAGATTCTGTAGGTCAACATCCTCTTCAACACCTCTTAATTTGTGCCAATCAAGTGGGGTATAAGGTTGTAGCCCCTCAAATCAGGGATTTTTTTTTTAATATGCCATTCCCTGATTTCAACTTATGTGAAGCATCTCTTCATATGTTTATTGGCCATGTGCTTCTTCTGTGAAATGCCTGTTTTTTTTTTCCTTTTTTCCATGTTTTGATTGAATTACTAGTGCTTTTATTTATTTGTGGGGGTTTTATGTGTGCATTTGTGTATACATGTATAATTACACAGACACATACTTAGTTACATAGGGCTTTAGTTACATAGGATTCTTGAAACTTTTTATTTCTTCTTGGGTTAGTTCTGGTGAGTTGTATTTTCTTAGGAATTTTTCATCTGAGTATTCAAAATTGTCAATCTATATTTCTTGTTAATACTTTCTTAATATTTTTTAATCTTTATCATTATGTTCCCTTTACTTTTACAATAATAGTTCTTTGAGTCCTTTTCTTCTGCTTTCTATGGGGTTTGTTCTGTTGTGTTTTTTTGTTGTTTTTATTTCTTAAAATGGATACTTAACTGTTTTCTTTTTTTCCTTTTTTCCAATATATTTTTATTTTTTATTTTTTTAATTATATTTGTATTGATTTCAGAGGGGAGAGGAGAGGGAAAGATACAAACATCAACGATGAGAGAGAATCATTGATCGGCTGCCTCCTGCACACCCCACACTGGGGATCAAACCGTGACTTCCTGGTCGATACTCAACCACTGAGCCACACCGGCCAGGCTGTTTTCTCTGTTAATATAAATATTTAAGCCTGTATATTTCCCTTAAAGCACAGCTTTTACATTGTTTCCTACTAATTTTAATATATAGTGCTCAGTTGGTTGAGTGTCCCATGCACCAAGAGATTGCTAGTTTGATTCCCCATCAGGGCACATGCCCAGGTTTTGGGCTCAGTCCCCAATCGGAGGTGTGCAGGAGACAGCCAATCAATGATTCTTTCTCATCATTGATGTTTCTATCTCCCTCTCCTGTCCTCTCTGAAATCAATAAAAAATAATTTATTTTAAAGAGACATTTACAGAGTTCTGCAAGAATTTAGAGAACACACATTTTTCTTGAGGACATGTAGAACAATCACATACCAACTCACCTCAACACAGTTTACAGAATAAGTATCAAAAGAGTAAGCATCACACAAAACATGACCCTTAACTTTAGTGTCCTTAGTTAGAAGTTAATACGTTTTGAAAAACCTAAAATTGAATAATGGTGCTATGGTTCTCAAACTTTTGGTCCAAGAATCTCTTTACAATCTAAAAATTATTGAGGAACCCAAAGTGCTTTTGTTATATGTGTTATATTCTTAAGAGATATTTATCTGTAGTTTTCTTGAAATACCTTTGTCTGGTTTTGGTATCAGAGTAACACTGGCCTCAAAGAATGAGCTGGCAAGTGTTCAGATCTCTTCTAATCTCTCTGAAAGACTTTTCTGAAGGATTGGTAGTAATTCTTTAAACATTTAGGTAAAATTGACCAGTGAAGCCATCTGGTTCTCAGTTCTTCTTTATAGGAATTTAATATTACTATTCATTGTTCTTACTTACTATAGGTCCATTCAGGTGTTCTATTCCTTCTCACGTCAGTGTCAGCATTTCTTTATCTTTCTAGGCATTTGTCCATTTCACCTAAGTTATCCAGCTTGTTGGCATAATCTTGTACATATTATTCCCTTAGAGCTTCTCAAAGATTACTAGTGATGTGTCCTCTTTGATTCCTGAGTTTTGTAACGTTAGCATTCTTTTTATCTTGGTCAACCTAGCTGAAATTTGTCAATTTTGTTTATCTCAAAAACCAACTTTTGGCTGTTGATTTTTTTCTATTGTTTTTCTATATTTCTATTTATTTCCACTCCAATCATTATTATTTCTTCCTTCTGCTTGTTTTGGGTTTAGTTTGCTCTTCTTTTTGTAGTTTCTTAAGGTGAAAAGTTAGATTATCCAAGGTCTTTTTTCTTTTTCAACATAGTTGTTTATAGACAGAACTTTTCCTGTAAAGGACTACTTTCATTGCATCCATAAGTGTTGGTATGTTGTTTTCATTTTCATTCATCTCTAGGTATTTTCTTTTTTCTTTTTGTTAATCCTCACATAAGGATAATTTTTCCATTGCTTTTCAATGGAAAAGAGGGAAGGAGGAAGGAAGGGAGGGAGAGAGAAAGAGAGAGAGAATCATTGATGTGAGAGACATATCGAATGGTTGCCTCCCACATAGGCCCTGACCAGGGCTGATGAGGGAACCTGCAACCCAGGTACATGCCCTTGGCTGGTAATTGAACCCACGACCTTTCTGTGCATGGGCCGATGCTCTAACCACTGAGGACCAGCCAGGGCCATCTCTGGTTATTTTCTAATCTCCCTGACTTCTTTGAATCATTGGTTGTTTAAGAGTGTGTTAGGTAATTTCCACATATTTTTTAGTTTTTCAGTGTTCTATTATTTGTTTCTAGTCTCATTTCACTATGGTGAAAAAGATTTTAAGCTTTTTTTTTTAATCTTTATTGTTCAAAGTATGACATATGTTCCATTTCCCTCCTCTCCACCCTCCCCCCGCCCCCCCGCATTGACCCCTTCTAGCCCCCACCCCCACACCCTGCCCTAGGCCTTCACCACCCTATTGTCTGTGTCCATGTGTTGATCTCAAGTATGGGGCTATGCATACAAATTTTCAAGATAATTTACAGGATACCACTACACACCCATTAGAATGACTACAATTAAAAAGACTGACAAGCCTGGCCTGGGTGACTCAGTTGGATGGGCATTGTCCCACGCACCAGGAGGGATGTCAGTTCAATTCCCGGTCAGGACACATGCCCAGGTTGTAGACTTGATCCCCAGTAGGCTGCGGATTGATGTTTCTCTCCCTTTCTCTCTCTCTAAAATCAATGAGAAAACATTTAAAAAACAAACAAAAGACTGACAATTCCAAATGTTTTTAAGGATGTGAAACTACTGGAATTTCATAAATCTATGAAAGTAATGATACCACTACTTTGGAAAACTTTCAGTTTTTTATAAAAATCAACTATATATTTATCATATAATCCAGCAGTCTGGTAGTTACCCAAGAGAAACGAGAATGTATGTTTACAAAATAACTTTGTTATAAATATTAATTAGTTTTATTCTTAATAGTAAAAAATCAAAATAACCCAAGGGTTCATCTACAGGAGATTGAATAAACAAATTGTGGTATGTCCATACAATGGAATGTTATGCAACAACAAAATGAACTAACTACTAATACACAATAATATGGATAAATTTCAAAAACACGTTGAGCAGAAGCAGCAAGGCACAAAGGGGTACATATTCTGTGATCCCATTGTATGACATTCTGGAAAAGGCAAAACTGTAATGATAGAAATCAGATCAGTGGTCGCTGGGCCAGTAGTGAAAGGGGATACAACTCTGGAAAGTGATGGAAATGTGTTGTATCCTCATTGTGGGGAAGGTTCTAGTTTTACACATTTGTCAAATTGTATTGAACTACAGTCATGCACAGCATAATGTTTTGGTCAACAAGAGACACATTGATGTAAGAACATCTGAACCTGCCCCAGTCAGTTTGGCTTAGTGGTTAGAGTGCCAGTCTGCGGACTGAAGGGTCTCAGGTTGGATTCTGGTCAAGGGCACATACCTCCATTGCAGGCTCCATCCCCGGCACCAGTTGGGGCACGTGTAGGTGGTAACCAGTCAATGTGTCTCTCTCACATAGATGTTTATCTGTCTTTACCCCTCTCTTCCACTCTCTTAAAAAAAAAAAAAATCAATGGAAAAAATATCCTAGGGTGAGGATTAACAACAAAAAGAGAATTTTTATAAAAAATTGAGCCAAAATTATGTCAGCCCTGGCCAGCGTACCTCAGTGGTTAGATTGTTGGCCTTATAACCACAGGGTCTCAGGTTCTATTCCCATCAAGGGCACGTATCTAGGTTGCAGGTAGGATACCTGCAGGAGGCAACCAGTTGATGTGGCTCTTTCACATCGATGTCTCTCTCCCTCCCCCTTCCCTTCCATGGAGCCCACCCTGTGTGACAGAGTGGTTGAGCATGGACACATGAACCAGGTGGTCACGGTTCAATTCCCACACATGCCCAGTTGTGGGCTTGATCCCAGTAGGAGGCAGCTGATCAATGATTCTCTCTCATCATTGATATTTCTCTCTCCCTCTCCCTTAAGTAAATATTTATTAAAAAAATAAAATCAACCTGACCGGTTTGGCTCAGTGGATAGAGCGTCGGCCTGCAGACTCAAGGGTCCCAGGTTCGATTCCGGTCAAGGGCATGTACCTTGGCTGCGGGTACATCCCCAGTAGGGGGTGTGCAGGAGGCAGCTGATCGATGTTTCTCATTCATCGATGTTTAACACTCTATCCCTCTCCCTTCCTCTCTGTAAAAAATCAATAAAATATAAAAAAATAAAATCAATGGAAAAAATATCCTTGTGAGGCTTAACAAGAACAAAAAAATTATGTCTAACCACTGTGTTTTAAAATATTTAATGTCATGTTAGACTAATTATTTAATGTCAACTGTAATTGAAAAATTAAAATAAGGGGGAAATATTTGAGCCAGAGGATACACCTGGAAGCAAGATCTCAACAGAATGAGAAAAGTGCTTCCAAGAATAGCATTTTGCAGCTTTTGTGCATTTGGAATTAAAGAGGGAACTAAGGAAAATTACAGCCGACAGGTGTGGCTCACTGGTTGAGCACAGACCTATGAAACAGATCATGGTTTGATTCCTGGTCAGGGCACATGCCCGGGTTGTGGGCTCAATCCCCAGTAGGGGGTGTGCAGGAGGCAATTCTCTCTCATCATTGATTCTCTCTCTCTCTCTCCCCCTCTCCCTTCCTCTGCTGGACATCTGACATGCCCTTTGCCCTGGCTCAGTTTGGGGGCAGCCCAGTATCCTGTGCAGTGGGGCTGGCCGTCCTGGATGTCTTAGAGAAGGAACAGCTGCAGGCTCATGCTGCCTGTGTGGGCAGCTTCCTGATGGAGCTCCTCGGACAGCAGAAGGCCAAGCATCCTATCATCGGGGACATCAGGTGAGGCTTGGGGCAAGTCACCGCCCACTAACGAAGCACCTGCAAGATGCCTAGAGTCATCTCTTCTTTCACCTCCTAACACCTGGGATGGTGGGAGTCTCCACAAGGAAAGAAGTGAAGCACCTAGAGGGGCTGTTGTCCAAAGTGGCACTTCTAGGGAGGGGAAAAGTCAGGATCAAGTAGCTCTGACTCGCTGCCCCTCCATCTTTCCTCTGTCAAAAGTGAGGGCCCCTCCCCATTGCAATTACTTCCTAGACACACACCACCACCACCAGTTCCTGTGACTCGGTCCCCAGGAGACAGAGGTACAAGCCCTGGTGGACTTTCCAATGGGACTTGGCTGAGACCCAGGCACAGGGCAAGTGTTAGGCCCGTGGTCCCTCAGGCCTGGACTCCTGAGATGTCACCTTCTGCTCCAGGGGTGTCGGACTTTTTATTGGTGTGGATTTGATCAAAGATGAGGCCACAAGGACGCCAGCCACCGAAGAAGCTGACTATTTGGTATCCAGGTACTTTTTCTTCAAGCAAGTTGCCTTTGCAGAGCTTCTCCAGGGCCACACCAGGGACAGGGGATGGACAGGACTCCTGCTCGTCTGGGTGGGTATGTCTAGATGGAGCATCATCTCTGGACTTAGAAGCCCCCTGCCCAAACCGGTTCACATTTTTCACTTGAATCCAGGTAGGACTCCAGCCTCAGCACCTTTCTCCCCTTTTATCTCCATTCCTCACGCCTATCCTTTCCCCCACCTCAAAAAATCTTTGGGAAATGTGTATCATTCTGCGTTTGGAATTCACATAAAACAGTAAGGCTGTAAAAAAAAAAAATCTCCCCCTCCGTGAAGTTTTTTGAGACTGACTCCTCCCCTGAGTGACTATCCAGTCCCTGCCTTCTCTCTGCTGGTCAGACACATCTGCCCACTCAGCTACCCCATGCTCACCCCACCCCAGCCTCAGCTCAGGAATCCAGCATGGCCCATTGGAAGGAATCAGATCTGAGGCCCAGCCTGATTTCCTCCATCTCATAGCCACTTGTGATTTCTCCAGTTCAGCTAGGAATCTGTTACCAAGAATTTGGTGTTTCATCACTAGTAGGTGGTAGAGCTGAATTTGAAGTCCAGACCTTATTCTTTTTCCTTTTAATATACTTTTATTGATTTCAGAGAGGGAAAGAAACATCAATATTGAGAATCACTGATTGGTTGCCTCCTGCACACCCCCTACTGGGGATCGAGCCCACAATCTGGGCATGTGCCTTTGACTGGAATTGAACCTGGGACCCTTCAGTCCACAGGCCAATGCTCTATCTACTGAACCGAACAAGCTAAGGCCAGGCCTATTCTTTCTAGCACTGCCATAGTCTGGGACACCATGGCTCCTAACGAGACTTAACATAAACTTTAAAAAATGTAAGTGGAACCTGGCTGGTATACCTCAGTGGTTGAGCATCAACCTATGAACCTGATCAGTTTGATTCCCTGTCAATACACATGCCTGGGTTATAGGCTCAATCCCTGGTGGGGGGTGTACAGGAGGCAACTGACCAATGATTCCCTCATCAGTTCTATCTTCTACAATCATGTTAGACCCCTTCTCTCAGTAGCCAAAATGCCTTCCTAGGTGGAATTGGGGGAGGGTGGGGGTGGCGTTGATAAAAAAACACATTGGTTTGTTGTTCCACTTTTTTATGCATTCACTTGCTGATTCCTTTATGTGCCATAACTAGGGATCAAACCTGCAATCTTGGCATATCAGGACAACACTCTTACCAACTGAGCTACCTAGCCAGGGCAGCTTCCTAGGTTAAAAGTATAAATGTGGGATATTAAAAATGACTCTCTTACGTATCAATGATAGTATTAAGTATGGTAAAGTCATCCTCCTAAAAAGAACTGGAAATTAAACTGACAAGAGCTGTCTGGAAATTACATTACCTGTGTGCTGGGAGCAGGGGAAGTTACTAAAACTAGATAAAGGGATGGAGTTCATTGTACCACTTTGTAATGTTGGACATTTTCCATACATTTACAAAGCAAGCCATACACATCATATAAACCATACATGAAGTGGGAAACGCAGGGACTACAGACTAGACTGGAACTCCAGGGGCAGTTAAGACTATGCCCCTTCTCAGGGCCAGGTCCATATGAGCCATTCACACCAGGGCACAAAGGATGGAAATAAAGTTTTGCAAGGGGTAGCCAGTGCCCCATGCAGGGGGCAGGGGGGGCCTGTGAAGGGCTCCAAGAGCAGTGTGGCTGGAAACCTAGCCAAGTGGCCAAAGCCAGGTGCAGGAAGACCATGTGAAGGGCCCTGGGCTGGTGGTGTAGCAAGGCTCTGTTATGTCCTGTCCTACAGGCTGAAGGAGAACTACATTTTGCTAAGCACTGATGGCCCTGGTAGGAATGTCCTGAAGTTTAAGCCCCCAATGTGCTTCAGCCTGGACAACGTACAACATGTGGTGGCAAAGCTGGATGCCATCCTAACAGGTAAGCATAAAGCCCCGTGTCCAGCTGACCATGTGCCCAGGACCCAGCCCAGCAGCTTCAATGGTCTAGTGCACTCAGGGGAAGGGGGCGCAACAGCCTCTGGACAGTGCAGGAAGCAAGGAGCTCAAGTGGAGAGGGGGTCTTACTAGCCCAGGTCACTTCTATTTCTGCCTGTGCTGGTGGGGCTTCCCAAGCACTGGGGAGGTGGGAGCTGAGCCACCCCCAAGGGCTATGCATGCAAAGTTCTGGGCAGGGGTAGCCCCCTAAATAGGCAAAGTCCCGTCTCTTAGATGGAGATCAGAACCACCCCTCCCTGTCCTCCACCTCTGGGCTATTTCACTTCTGCCCCCAGGGCTCCAGAGCTGAGGGCCAACCCCCTGTACACAACTGGGAAGTGGTATAAAACCTGCTGGATGAGGTGAGGCACACTAGCTTAGGTTTCCTATAGGAGCCTCTGGTTGAATTTGGGTCTTGGGAAACTTGAGGGCAGGCTTTATCCTTTGGGAATATTGTTGCTGATCCTGTGGCTGGTGCCACATACATATAGGTCAAGTGTGGGGGATCATGGCCCTATCCAGTGAGCCCAACTCCAAACTGCCATCCAAGAAGCTTAGACACTGAAGGCAGGAGGAGCCTTTAGCAGATGAGAAAGGTTAACCAGTTTGGGTGGCCATGGGGTCTTTTTCAGACATGGAAGAAAAGGTGAGAAGTTGTGAGACGCTAAGGCCCCAGCCCTGTGGTAGCCCTGCCCTGTCATGTCCTTTACTAGGTGAGTAGGCCACAACTGGGTTCCTGAACTGTTCTGTACCCCCCAGGAAACCAAGCTTCTTTTTTTTGTAAATTTTGTTCCAAGTGATGTCCCCTTCCCATAGGGTACTTCCAACATTGGGAGGCTCTGGCTACCTTGAACTCTCTCCACACACCCCTGCCAGAAAATCTCCAACTGTTTGCATTTGTTGGCTGAGGCAAGAGGGCAAGAGCAGCCACGTCCTCCCCAGCCAGTTCCTTCTAGGAGTGAGGGGAAACAAAACTCCTTTTCAGGCTCCGACCACCTAGAGCCAGTCCCACAGCCTGCTGCCTCCTCTTGCCACCAGACTTGAGGTGCTCCAATCCAGCAGCAAATAGGTGCTGCCAGAGTAGGCTATTACATTTCAGCCAGGAGGGGGCATCCTTGATTGTAGGTTCACTGTCCTGGAAGACAGAACCCCGTTTTAAGAAAGGTGTTCTAAGGTGTCTCAGAATCCCTACTGCACAATCTTCACCCCCATGAACAGCTGCCTTAAACCTCCAGCCATTTCCTTCCTTTAAAGGGGCCCAAGTCCTATGCACCGCATATCCCACACTCACCCAGGCTTAGGGGTTTTTACATTTTTATTTCAAAAGCTTGGATAGCTTCAATATCCAGGTCGTGGCAAAATCAGGACACGTGTAAAATACCTTACAATACATTAGATTCCCAAAAGGTACCAAAAAGTACAGTAAAATTAACACTTCCATTACAGGAAATGTATGACACAAATAATATAAAATTAAAAGGTGAAAAAAGGTGACACTGGTTTCCTAAGATAGACTTTTTTACAACCAGGGTCCACAGGTCCAGGATGCAGAGCGGCAGCAGGAAACTGACCCCCCCACCTGGTTCTGGGTAACCCGGTAATAAAATCAGCCCACAAAGCCGCTCTGGCCTCTGAGACACCACACGCTGCCTAAAACAACTAGAGCTCTGGAAATAGTAAACAAGAGAGTGATTTCCAGGGGGGAAATTTTAAATAAGATGCACATGGGACAGGCCATAGAAAGTATGCCAAGTTAAATTTGGTACATAATTGTTTGTGTTCACTCAATATCCAAACAAAGCGTGTGCGGTCAGACGGGCACTCTTGCCGAAGCCTCAGTATGGCTTGTAGTTATTCTGATGGCCACCACGTCGCTGGCTCTTCCCGTAATTCGTACTACCCTGACCTAGGGACAAGAACAACAATGATAGCAGCTAGATTTATTGAACATTTATCCCTGTGCCAGGCGCTTGGCTCAAATCCTCACCAGAGCCAACACCCCTGGGGCAGGCTACAAAGCCCAGCCTGTCTGACTCCAAAAGCCCCTGCTGCCAGTGACCCCTGCACTTTCTGTCCTGCCTCCCAGGTGGGTGACTGGATGGGGCCTCCCTCTCTCCTACTTACTGTAGTCGTATCCGGGGCCGTAGCCGTAATAGCCATAGGGCGAGTAGTCGTAGCCGCCATAGCCGGGCCCGTAGCCCTGCTGGTAGCCGTAGCCCTGGTTCCAGTAGTTGCCGTAGCCCTGATTCCAACTCTGACTCTGACCTGTGGGGGGAGCAGGGCACAGGGGCCCATGGACCATTTAGCACACGTAGGAGCTAGGATGGAGGAAATCCTGCCCTTTGGGTGGCGGGGTTACTATGGCAACTCAGAAGTAGAAGCCAAGGAAGGGGCTTGCTGTCCTGATATAACAGAGCCCTAACCTGACTGCACTTAGACCCAAGCTGCAGAGGAAGACAGAACGGAACCTAACTTCTCTCAGGGCCAAAGAGGCAGGAACTCATTCTCACTCAAATCACCCTCTGATTACCCAAACCCTCTCTGGCAGCTTGGCCTTAAAAAAGATAGAGTTCAGGCTTTGGAGTCAGAGGGCCTAGGGCAGAAGGAGATAAAGCGCCTGGCACAGCCCTGCCCTACCTTCTGCCCGCCCACCCACCCATGGGTGGACCAAGACTCAGGACAGCCAGAGAGCCCATCAGGCCCCTCCCCCCTCCCATCTCAAAGTATAATATAAATCTTCCGCTGCCCTGGGGCCCCAAACCACATGGGAAATATGGGCTCTTCCACTCCAACCAGCAGCAGCTCAGCCCGGACCCAGGAGAGCCATTCCTGTCCCTGCCCACCCTGCCACACCAGAGACCAGAGTAAGCCCCCAAGACAGGCATGGAAGCTCCATGCAGGCAGGGAAACCAGGCCCATATTCATCGGTGTTCCACTCACCTCCTCCACTTCCACCACCACCACCACTGCCTCGGTTCCCTCTGTTGCGGTTTCCACGGCCCCCAGAGCCATACTGCTGCTGTTGATAGACTTTTCTGGGCAGAGCCACCTTGATTTCACACTACAAGCCAAGAGGACAGGAAGTCAGGCTACTGGGACAAGTTCTGGGGAGAGACTGTGCACAACGACCTTCATTTACAAACATTCAGACTTGGTCCATCTTAATAATAAAATATGGTAGGGTGTGAAACCACATTCGGGCTAGAATTTCTGAGAACCGTAACTAAAACCTAAACAAACCAAGATTCACATTAGAGCCTTTTTGGCTCAAACCTTCCCCCAGAGAATGTACTGGGAATGATGGATACAAAACCAGGGTTAGGACAGCTCCGTTTAACAATTGGGAGAGGGACAGCAGGGCCAATGCCAGCTCAGTATAGCAAAACACACCAACTGTCAGGTCTAGTGCCACCTTGGTCCTACTAGGCAGGGAGGTCAGAGGCTTCCCGGATGAGAGCCAGAGAATAAGTACACTTTCTGATTTTACTTTTTTTACAGAAAAAAAAAAATGAAGCATCCTACTCAGATGTATAGTGGTGACCCTGACTTCCAACTTACAGAGGAAGAAAGCCACTGAGGCTCAGGGCAGAGCTTGCCTGAAGCCAGACTGCTACCGCTGCCCCTCCCCCAACCACTGGTCTGTATTTGGGATGGGCCAAAAGCCCTATGTATGTCCCCCAGAGTCTGTTTCTGCTTAGCTCAAAAACCTGCCCACTGTGGGTGGAGGTAGGGTCAGGAACCTTCCAGTGCTCCTGCTTAAATAAATTAGAAGTGTATTTTTAAAAGTACACTGAAAAAAGAACACAATAAAAATAAAACCCTGGCTGGTGTGGCTCAGTTGGTAGGATATTGTCCTGTGCACTGAAGGGTTGCTGATTGATTCCTAGTCCAGGCACATGCCCAAGTTGCTGAGTTGCTGGCTCAATCCCTGGTGGGGGTATGGAGGAGGCAGCCAATTGATGTTCTGCGCTCACATCAATGTTTCTCTCCCTCCCTTCCCTCTCTGAAAATCAATTTTAAAAATAAAAATTTTTTAAAGGGGGGACATCTGTAATACTTTCAATAAAAATAAAATTAAAAAAAAAAAACGCTCTCCCTCCCTAGCTTTCATGTGCCCCTCTACACCTACACCACCACCCCCTATGCCTTTCCCTTTCCCTCTCCTAAGTTCCAAGGGCCCTTCTTTTGCTTTTTTAACTTGTTTTCTGAGCCTACACAGCCCAGCTGGCTCACTTCTACTACCTCTAACTTTCTAAATGAACTTTCTCTTATAATTTGAAGAAATAAAAGTACCGACACATACTTTGCCCCCAACTAAGACCAGTGAAAAAAACATTCCACATAAGCTGTCCCCATATAAGCATACTCCTGTAAAACTGGCAAATTACCCCCACCAGTGATGCAATCTGATGTTTTCTACCCTACTGAATATACAACTAAATACAGTATTTCATACAACTAAATACAGTATTTCAAGACCCACTGCCAGCAGTGACTAGTGCTGCCCTATAGGTTCTTCCTGCCCATTTTTCATTATGGCAGAAAAAAAGGCCTGTTGATACCCCTATCCACTGGGCTAGCTAATGGATGGTCTTTTCCAAATGTCCCCTAGGATCCAATCTCATTTTACATGAAATTTAAGAGTCCAATCCAATTTTTCTAAATTCCCAGCCAGGGTACTGAAGTTTTCAGGAGCCCCACCCTACCTGTCCAACTTTATCTGGCTGCCACTCCAGCACAGACAGAGCCTGTCACACCCTGCCACACCCTCAACACGCAACTGCCACCTGGAGAATACTTTAAAAAGCCATACTACCCTCTCTCTAGACCAGAGTTCAGGGGTGGTAACAGCTATATTTCTCACTTCTATTCATTCAAAGGCAAACTAGCCCTGGGTATAAATGAGCCAGGACCCTGGGGGCTCTTTGGGAAGGATCTTGCTAGGATGGATTTGACTAAACCAATATCAAAAGGGGATGGAGAAGAATAAAGATTTGGTTTTGGAAGCAATAAGATAGAAAAGCTCTGCAGCAGTTTCTATAGTAAGCAGGACTTCACTGCCAGGGAAAGAAATCAGTGAACGGCAGAAGTTCCAAAATCTTCTGAGAACTGCAAATCTTAGACTCTAGATTCAGACCATCTTAAGCTCTAGCTTTAAAGAGACTACTCAGCATGCTACTCTGTTTTTACTGCCAGGCTAAGAGCTCCTTGCAGGCCAGGACCATCTGCCCCCAATCAGGGCAGCAGACCTTCAGAGAAACAACAGAGTCTCACTACCCTGGAGAGCCCTTGGAGGCAGCCCAACCCCTAAGCCACACCTGCAAGGGGCAGACCTCTCTCAGCAAGAGGCCACACACACATTAACTGCAGACACTTTACCTTACTTCCACTGATGGTGTGGAACTTTTTCTCTAGAACCTTCTTCACAGGTTCTTCCTCTTCTTTAAAAGTGATGAAAACAAAACCTCGTCGTTTGTTTGACTTTGGATCCATTGGAAGATCAATGGCCTCGATCTGTAAACACAGGCAAAGCTCAGGACCAGTACCTCCCCAGGGCTCACAGGGAACTGGATGGAGAAAAGGTCCATGAAGGCCAGAGAACGATAAAGCAGCCTGGCTGAGGAGGGCTCCTCCAGTCAGCCAAGGCTGTCACGGACCAGGAAGACCACCTCAGGGCAGAGGGCAGGCCACTCACCTCTCCAAACTCGCCAAAGTACTCTCTGATTTTCTCCTCAGTGGCTTCAGGATTCAGACCCCCCACAAAAATTTTCTTTACAGGCTCCTTCTTCATGGCCATAGCCTTTTTGGGGTCAATGACACGGCCATCCAGCTTGTGCTCCTTCTGGTCGAGGACCTGTTCCGACAGAAGGAAGTTGGGTTCTAACTCAGCAGCATGACGCTATACAAGGCTCTTCTCTTTGAGCCATGGAACCCCAACACAGGTACACAAAATGTTTCATCCCCTCCAAACTCTAACCCCAACAATCATCAAATGTCAAGCACAGCTGGTTTACCTGTAAATCAGTCCTCACCACCCCGACTTTTCCCATGTTATCCTGTACCCCCTCCTCCTGCCTCGGCAGTTCCAGTTGAAGGCCTATCTCCAGAAGTAAAGCCGCAGTGACTGAAGGAAACTGGGCTGCTTGGGCTCAGAATCCTTACTCCACCACACTTAGCCACCTGTGTGAGCTTTTCTACTTCAGCTTCTGAACCTTAGCTTGTTTTCTGTAAAATGAAGCTAAAATGCCTATCTCGTAACAACCTTGGACTCCCCTCCAGTCCTCACAATAGTGTTTGCAGTGTCCAGAAGAGGCAGAGGAAGGCAAATGTCCACTCTCATCTTCCTGTACCACTCCAGCCCACTCACTACCCTACTACAAGGAGCTGCTTTCCTCAAAGCACCAACCATGTGCAGAACACACAAGCTACACGCTCCAAGAGTAGCGTCCTTAGAATTTACTCCTTATATAAAGTACCCAGCTTACCTTCTCCACACTAGCTGCATCTTTGAAGAGAATAAACCCAAATCCTCTTGACCGGCCAGTGTTGGGATCCATTTTTATTGTACAGTCAACGACCTCTCCAAACTTGGTAAAATAATCCTTTAGGTCCTTTTTGCTGGTATCCCAGCTCAGGTGACCAACAAACATTTTTCTGAAATGGTAGGGTGAGACACATAGCAACAAGTCTTATAAGAAAGCTGTGATTTTAGGAGGACTGGCCCTAGCAAAGCTTTCACTGAGAAGATCAGAAATAAAGCCACAACCTGGAACAAGACTCTCTCCCTTGAGCCCCTAGCAGGGGTGGGCAAACTTTTTGACTCGAGGGCCACAATGGGTTCTTAAACTGGACCGGAGGGCCGGAACAAAAGCATGGAGTGTTTGTGTGAACGAATATAAATTCAAAGTAAACATCATTACATAAAAGGGTACGGTCTTTTTTTTTTTTTTTTTTTTTTTTTAGTTTTATTCATTTCAAACGGGCCGGATCCGGCCCGCGGGCCGTAGTTTGCCCACGGCTGCAAGGGCTCGATCTTTGGAAGATGTTAAATCTCTAGTACTCTCCCAAACTCAACTTTGACGCTAACCAAGTTTCAGGAGACAACAAACGCCGACTGGGCGAGGGAAAGGAAGGACAACCTGGCCGGGGTACAGGCTCTGAGCGCTCACAACGGAAAGCAATTTGTGTAACAACCACGTATCAAAAGGCTACCGTCTCCGCCATTCCCCGCCACTTCCGAAAATTCGCTCTCAAGGAACCAGCAGCTTCCGGGTGCCCCGACCGTAACTCCGCCCTCGGTCGGCGGCGGAGGAAGGAGTCCGCGGCCCGGGCACGCGCCAACTCCGCCCCCGCGGCCCCCGCGCGGCCCAGCCCTGCTGGGCCCGAGGCCCCAGTGCACTCCCCTTCCGGGCGCCCGGCCCGTCCCTGGCGCCGCGCGAGAGGCCCCGGGGCGGCGCCAAAATCGACCCAACAAACTCCTACAAACTCGAGCGCGAGCGGCGGCAAAGCGGGTAGGCGCGGAGAACGAGTCCGCTGCCCGAGCCGCCCCGGCCGCCTGCCCCTCCCCCTGCCGCGTGGCGCCAACAAAAGGCGGCCCCGGAACAAAGGCAGCGTCCGGTCGGCCCTCGGCCGCACCTACCCCGCGTCCTCCTCTTCCTTGCTGGCGTTGATCTTGTCGCCCTCGGCGCCGTTCTGGTTGCCGGCCGGAGGTGCCGCGCTCCCGCCTCCGGCGCTCGCCGCGGCCCCGCTGCCCGGCCCGGCCGGCGACTCGCCTTCGGGGGCCGCCTCGTGCCCGTTCTCGGTGGCGCCCGTCGTCTCCATGAGCTGCTCCTCACCGGTTTCCGACATTAGACCGGAGCGCGGCGGCTCCTGCAACGAGCGGCCACAGCACGTCAGACCCGCGCGGCTCCCGCCGCCTGCCCCCCGCAGCCCGCGGCCCGGCCGCTCACCTCGCCGCCGGTGACGCCGCGAGGCCCGCTCGTCCCCACCCGCCGGGAAGGTGCCACGAGGCTCCGCCGCGCTCAAGCCCGCGCTGCCCGGTCTCCCCTCCCTCCGCCAACGGAGCTGCCGCAACTTCGCGCGCTCCTCCTCGACCACCGCTGCACGGAACCCACCGCCCAAAAGACTTGCTTAGGCCCGCACGGTACCGCCGCCTGACAATGCCGACTCGTGGCGCTCTTTATAATGCCGGAGCCGGGGCGGCCACCTCGCAACAAGAGGCATGCTCACTGGCTGTACCCGTCCGTCACTCAACCCTGCGCCGGCGTCCTATTGGCCACGTCGGCGCGCGCACGCTAGATCCGGGCGGGCTTTGTCCTCATTTTAGAACCCGCGCGAGCCTGGGCCCTGCGGAGCGTTGCCTGACTGAACGACGTTCCTGCCCGCGGCTGAGAGGCCCCGGGCATACCTTCCGCCCTGTTAGGCCGCAGTCTCTCTCCTCCCGGCGCCCCCAATCCCAGCATTGACAGTCTCGGCCGCTCCATTTCCCCAAAGAGGGGAGTAGGTTCGAACAAGTCTCGCAAACCAAGATCGCCCGGCTGGAAGCGGCAGAACCCGGGCTGCCGAGCTGGGGCGCGTAGGGTCCCCCACAGTCCTGGGCTCGGAGGGATGGCGACGCAGCTCGCCCTCCCCTTGACCTTGGTGCCCTCGGAGCCCCGCGCTCCCGCCCTTCCTGCCGCCCCCCGCAGCGGGGAGCCGCGGGCTGGGGACGAGTCCTGCAGAGACCTGGCGCCTACCATGCTGACCCGGATGTGGCGAGAGAAACGGCAGAACCATGGTGTTCCCCAATCAGGCCGCCCCACACCACCTTGACGATTAGCATCGTGTTTATACTTTGGGTTACTTAAAATTTTTCATTTACATTAGTTCACTCGTTTTTGCTGAAATTTAATTTTCCACTAACATTTTCAAAGTCATGATGTTGGGAAGTGGGGTAGTTAGTTCTCTTTTTCTAATATACAAAAACCCTTAATATTACCTCCTTGACAACCAAATTTAAAAGGCCTGCATAACCCCGTGATTCCTTTTAATCATATGGGTGAAGGGTCCCGAATGGACCAAGATCACAACCTCTGAAGCCTGGGAATTACCAGTAGCAACAGAACACAGGTAGCTGACATTCACCCGCTGGATTCCTGCTTCCTGCGGCCAGGTCTAGTGTGGCGGGCCAGGCCTGCTGTTTTCTGATCTGATCTCTTAACAGCCCTGTGAAAGGTGGTACCATCCTCAATTTATAAATGGGAACACTGACACCCAAAGCCTTGGGCCACGTTTACTCCCCAGTCCAGCCAGCCAATGAGTTGCCATGAGAATGAAAAATGTGACAATCTTACATTTGGAAAAAATACACGACATTCCTCCCAAGGTATCAATCAACTAGAGCTGGGCCCCCACCCCCAGATGAGCAAAGGCCCTCTGGTTCACCCCAAGGCCCACCTGACCACTTCAGACTTGGTTCCATAACTGGAACTCACATATCTCCATAAAACCTTGGTCATCTACTGCTCTGGCTTGCAGTGAAATCCAGAACAAACACCACGCCATCTCCACCTAAGCCCTCACCCACCCACAGACCTAAGGGCCAGGGATGTGACTCACAGGAGACGATGGGTGCAGCTACCCAAGCAATGAAGATAATTCAGGTGATTAAGTTCAAATAGTCTAAATGCAGCCACAGGGCATAACTACTGGGGACACAAATTCACTTAATCTGCCCTTGTCCACCTGGATTCTCTTAGCACCACCTGGGAAACACTCTCAACAACATGTCAAGTCTAAGGATAACAACATTCAGACCATGCTTCAAAGTTTGCAAAATGTTTTCACCAACATGGCTTTATTGGAGATTCAAAATAATTTTGTGTGTACTTATTCATAATTTATAGAGGAAAATGCTGAAATCACACATCTAAAACTGTGGCCACAAAGCCAGCATTTCCAACTCCGTATTGTTCCAGGGCTCCGGGATACTGTAGGCCAAGGAGTCTCTGAGCTCCTGAGTTCCTTGGTCTGAATTAGATCTTGTGTCAGATTTAATTCTGCTGCTCAAATGAAGCAATGCTTAGAAAATACTTTACAAACTATAAAGAACTGCAGACCAGTGGGGATCAGTCTTCGCCCAGAATGCCTTTATATTGCATCCGAGGGTATTTCTTTTTTTTTCTTTTTTTAAAAAATATATTTTATTGATTTTTTACAGATAGGAAGGGAGAGGGATAGAGCTAGAAACATCGATGAGAGAGAAACATCGATCAGCTGCCTCCTGCACACTCCCCACTGGGATGTGCCCGCAACCAAGGTACATGCCCTTGACCGGAATCGAACCTGGGACCCTTGAGTCTGCAGGCTGATGCTCTATCCACTGAGCCAAACCAGTTAGGGCCCAAGGGTATTTCTGACAGAGGCAAAGAACTGGGATGTTGGAAGCAGCAGAAAGTCCCTTTGACACAAGGATCTCCACTCTTTTTTTTTTTTTAATATATTTTATTGATTTTTTACAGAGAGGAAGGGAGAGAGATAGTCAGAAACATCGATGAGAGAGAAACATCGATCAGCTGCCTCCCGCACATCTCCCACTGGGGATGTGCCCGCAACCCAGGTACATGCCCTTGACCGGAATCGAACCCGGGACCCTTGAGTCCGCAGGCCGACGCTCCATCCACCGAGCCAAACCAGCTTTGGCAGGATCTCCACTCTTATTATTGGGTCCCAGCTATAGAACTAGAGTAGAGGATTTCTTCCATGACAGTGAGGTTCTCAAATCAACAAGGAGCCCAGGCTGTCAGGCAATATATGTATAAAAATGTGTACAATCATCAGTCTAGAATAAAGAGGACAGGCACAAAGTGCATTTTCAAAGTTTTTAAAATTATATGAATTCATTTTTCTCACTTTTTATTTTTTTTATTTACTTATTTATTGGCTGAGCCTGCAAAGTGGAAATTGCAGGAGTTAACTACAAATATGAGGTGACTGCAGTAGCCAACTCCCACGCAAGCCACTGCCCACTCAGCTCCCTGAGCTCCAGCTCCTCCACTTCAGGGCTAACTCTGGCTCCAGCCAGAGGAAACTTTTTACAATGCAAGTCAGGTCTTGTCACACTGTGTGAAAACCCTGGCTGGCTTCCCACCGCTCTGAGAATGAAATCCTAACCCTGAATACGGGTGGGGTGAGAGAGCCAGTTAGGGGTCACAGAAATCCATGCCCCACCCAAATAGACCTCCTTGCTGTGTGGTCTGTGAGTGGAAGGGTCACTTCTGCGCCTGGGCATAGAGGCCAGGGCCTCCCCCAGACCTCCCTTCCCCTGGAGACCACATGTTCTGATGGTAGAGCTACATTATGGAGAGCTGTTTAACCCGTGTCACACTTGCCATGAGCAAGAAAGGAATCTGTACTGTCAAGCTACTAAGCCTGGGGGTATATCTCTAGTTGTAGCCCAGCCAAGCCTAACCACTCCACTGGACTTATGAGGCCTGGCATGAGCCACCCCAGCCACACCTTATGCCCACTCTTCACTCTGGCCGTGCTGATTTATTTCCCAGAACTCACCTGCACCCTTCTGGAGGTACCTTTGCATCTGCTGTTCCCTCTACCTGGAATACTCTTCCCCAAGTTTCACCTGCCTACTCTACATATATGTGTGGGTTGAACTGTGTCCCTTCCAAAAATATGTTCAAGTCCTAACCCCTGGTACCTATGCATATGACCTTATTTGAAAATAGGATCTTTGCAGATGTAATCAAGTTAAGATGAGGTCAAACGAGAGTTGGTGGGCCCTTAGACTGGTGCCTTATAAGAAAAAAAGATACCCATAGCCACACACAAGGAAAATGACATGTAATGACAGAGGCAGAGGTTGGAGTGATGCGTCCACGTGTCTTGGTCAATTCGGGCTGCTAGTACAGATTACCATAGACTGGGTAACTTAAACAACAAACATTTCTTTTTTCTCACAGTTCCAGAGGCTGGGAAGTCCAAGATCAAGGCACTGGCAGATCAGGTGAGAACCTGTTTCCTAGTTCACATATGGCCATCTTTTCACCGTGTCCTCACCTGACAGAGAGGAAAGAGAAGAGCGCTGGCGCTCTCTCTTCTTATAAACTCACTAATCCCATCATGAGGCCCTACCCCCATGACCTCATCTAAACTTAATTGCCTCCCAAAGGCCTGACTTCCAAACACCATTACCTTGGAGATTGGGTTTCAACATATGATTTTTTTAGAATATATTTTTACTGATTTTCAGAAAGGAAGGGAAAGGGAGAGAGAGTTGAAACATCAATGATGAGAGAGAATCATTGATCGGCTGCCTCCTGCACGCCCCCTACAGGGAATCGAGCCCATAACCCAGGCATGTGCCCTTGACCAAAATCGAACCTGGAATCTTCAGTCCCCAGGCTGACACTCTATCCACTGAGCAAAACCAGCTAGGGTTCAATACATGATTTTTGAGTCCGTAACACCAACAAACACCAAGGATTGCCAGCGACACCAGAGGCTAGGATAGAGGCTCCCCAGCAGAGCCTGCAGAGGGCGTGCGGCCCTGCCAACACCTTGATTTTGGACTTTTCGCCTCCAGACTATAAATTTCTGTTGTTGTACGCCACCCAGCTGGTGATGCTTTGTTACAGCAGCCCTAGCTGACTAATACAACATCCATCAGACTTCTGCTTCCTCCAGGAAGTGGTCTGTGATGCCCCAAGAAGTGTCCCTCTCAGAGTAGGGACCACACAATATTGATACCAACCATGAGCTCAATGAGTTCCTGCATTAGGTCTGTCCCCTTGACCCTGACACCTCCAAGGCACCTCCATACCTGCAGAATGAATAAAAGATCTCTTGACCTACGGTTACTAACTGGTTCCTTATGGGCCAAATCTGGCTCAGATGTGCTTGCTTGCCCCGCACAGCATTTTCAACATCTTAAGAAATTATTTACCAACATTCATGAAGTATAATATTTCTAAAAAATGTTCTATTTCCACTTACTTTTGGAAAATTGTTAGCTGACAGTCCCACATATCCACAGAAGCTGGATGGGACAGGTGCCATCCAGTTCACCCCAGCCCCCACCAGGTCCTGTCATCTTACTCTTGGGCTCCTAAATTAATTTTCATTGGTGGAAAGCAGATGAAGTATCAGTCCCTAACTAGGGCCCATGAAGCTCAGCTTCTCCATCTTTCAAACAGGGATAACAAC